ATACATTACGTTATATAAAAAGGCAAGTTAGAGAACAGTAATATCTATTTTCACATATGTGTATCTGTGTTTACATATAGAACAAAAACAGGCTTTAACAGGTTTTGAGCCAGAGATCTTTGATTTCCTACATTAAGTATTTTTGTAATTGAATGTGAATACATGTATTACATTATAATTAGAACAAAATGTTTTTTTAAAATAATACACCCTACTTTCTGATTCATTGGATCTTGGCATTTGTACTTAATAAACTCTCCATAGGTGATTCTGATGCTCATAGAGATGAAAGTTCTTAGCTCAAGGTCTGCTTTCCTCTGAATTCTTTCTTGGTAAAGACAGTCACCTTAACCAGACCAACGTTCTAAATGCTTCACCTTAGTGTTTAGCTAAAAGCCCTCTTAGTTTGGTTTCAGAGGTCTGTAGATGTTGTTACCTTGTTCTCATATCTGGAACTTGATCTTTCAAGCTGGCAAGAAATCAGTATGGAAGTTCCTGGGGTGGCCCTTTATAATTCGTGGATCTGATGACAACCAGGAGCTAAGTCCACATGGTTATCCTAGGTCCTTTTCATACCCTTTCACAATGCTAGCTACTCAAAAACAAGACAAAATGCCTTATTTTGTATCTGATACTTTACTACCTTCTGCCTTCAAGTAGTATTGTTCCTCCTCTTCACATTCTGTCTCCTAACTACAGGAGTGGAGGGTATGTGAGGAGAATCACAACAGTGCTCTTTTTTTCTTTAAAAAAAAAACTGAGTTCATGATTCTTGCTTTAGATTTACACAATTCTTGGATTCATTGGGACACTATAAATGTATTTTGGTTTCTTAAAATTGGCATTTTTCTCTATAATTGTCTCAGCCTATTTGCTAGGGTGTTCTAACTTTAAAAATTCTGCACCATCTAGCACTTGTCAATTTAAAAGACGCAGAAGACTGCTGGGGCACTGAAAGCCAAAGCTTTGTTACTGCTTGCTAGTTCAATTAACAATGAATACCTTTATATTCCAGCAACCAATTAAAAATCATTGTTTTATTTATTTTGCAGCAAAGAAAGTAAGGTTTATTAGAGAGTTAAAAGTCTCGGAGACACAGGCGAGCTATATAGCTCAAAGGCCTGGCTTCAAAAATCTTTGTTTTTAACAGTGATACTTCAGGGTATTTTCTGAAAGAAAATCGTTGTCTGTCACGTCCTTATTTACTGATGACAAATTTTTAGAGAGGCTTCATCTCAAGAGACCTCTCCATCCTTTCCTTGTATGGGCTGGAGGAGGGACATCTCCCTCCTAGCTCTGTGTGTGCAGCAGGGCCAGCCTTGCTAGATGTCCTTACTGAAGTGCTCTGCTTTAATTGTGTAACGTTAGGTGATTTATTTCATGTAAATCTGTTCTGTTATTTGTGAGGCATCAATAATATCTGATTGGCTTGTTTCACAGGGTGGTTTTGGGATCAAACAAGATAATGTGGTAGCACTTTAAAAACTGTAAAGTGCAATACAAATGTAAAGTATTACTTTTCTAGGCATCTTAAAATGTGGCAGACCCTGTAAATATTTAGGTAAAAATTATGGCAGTTTAATTTACTAGGTTGTTTGTTGCAGCCTTGCGATAAGCTTTGAGAAGATTGATTGTACAAGGATTAAGATTTCTGAGTTAAACTAGAATTGTTCACACCTCTTGTGATGTTCTTTCATATATTTTGACCCTTCGTTCAATGATTATGGCACTTTTGATGTCACAAGCATCTTGGGTAGCCAGGATGCTTAGGGGAGTGGCAGATAGTGTTAACTAAAGGCTTTTTTCCATTATGGTTACTACACTGATCTGAGCTGCTTTGAAATTTCTTTGCCAAGCAATTCCAATTGAGAGCTCTCCTTCCAGATAGCTCTGCTGGTGTTTGGAGACTGCCATCTTCAGAGAGAGATTTCTCTTGAAGTAATCCATTTGGAAACTATGCGAATAATTGGCCTGTCATAATATTTAACGGGGTGCTGGCTCGTGGCTCTTCTGAAGGTGCTAGATTTTATATGAAAATTGGGTTACATATTTAATCTACTTCTCTACTGATTTTTAAAACAACTTTTATTCAGAACCCTAGAGAACTACATATAAATAAGGAAAAAACTCACATTGGGGAGCCTTGCTGAGAATCTCCAACATAAAGAATCCAATCTCCAGAGGTAGTTGGCTGGGATGAGCCAGTTAAGAAAACTCAGAAGCAGGAATCTGTTTTCTGCATTCTTCACTTATTTGAGTTGTTCTTAAGACAGCGATTTAAATGAGTAAAGATGAAAATCAGGAGGTCTTTTTAGATTTGCCCATGTGGGGGATTTTCTTTATCCAACCTAAAGGATTTTATTAAATTCTATGACTCTTACTCCTTGGGACTATGCTAATAATAAAAGGAGGAGAGGGCTGCAGGAGCTAGAGATAAGCCGGAAGCTGTCCTGACCCTTTGGATCAGAGCAGCAAGATCAAATGAGTAGTAGTCGATGCTGTTTCTTTTTATTTTCTTTAGGATAGATCCTATTTTATTATTTTTTTAATTAAATTTATTGAAGTAACATTAGTTAATAACATTGCTTAATAAGATTATAATTCAACATCTGTATACTCAATTGTGTGCTCCTAACTCAAAATCTATAGTTTCCTTTCTTTACCATATATTTGAAATGCTCTCTTTTTCGTAAGACAGGTATAGCTATTAACGTAGATAACAGTAAGCCTTAAATAGCTCTGAATTCTGAAGCCAGTGTAATAGAACACCTTTCCTTTCCTTTTTAAAATTTAATTACTTGGAAAAGGGTACACTAGTGGACAGTTATTATTTTTGGATCATCTGTAACCTATTGTTTTCCTTCCGTCCGTTGAAAAAGGGAGTATCTTCCAGTTTCCAAGTCCAAGTTGGTGTGTAGAGAGTTGTGGTAGCCTTTGTTATTTAAAGATGCTTGCCAGTTTATTTTGCTCTGTACTGTAACCAAAGACTGATGATAAATCTCCTCCTTCAACTGACAGTGAAAGGAAGCAAGCAAGGAGTAGCACTTGTTCTTGGGAAAAAAACACTACTGCATTTAACTAAAAGGAAAATTGGATTTTTCTTCCCTCATAAAATAACGCTTCTCATATGGCAATCAGAATTCTGAAAACATGCAGCATCTCTCTTCAGGAAGAGGCACAGCCCCTGAATCAGAGACACAATGAAGCTAGCCAGGAGTTAGCAAAAGATTGCATGCAATCCACTGATTAATCTGTTAAGTAACAGAAGAAAAGGAAGACTCATGTGGCACTTTCTCTAAAAGACCAGAGGGGCTGGGGAGGCAAGGAAAGCAGTCTTCAGTATGTAAATGGGAAGGAAGAGTGTTAAAAAGACATTCTTAGCATAAATATATGTTCTGAACTGGGGGGTGGGGTGGGGGCCTCCAATGGCCATGCTAAAAGCACCTCAGAAAACATTTTGTACCACTGCAAAAGTCAAGAATACCTTTAGTGGAAGAGGTGTCTACATTTTTTTTCTTACCAAACATTAAGCTTCAGTAAGGCAAGGACCATTTCTTGTTTTCTTGAATCTCTAGTATCCAGCAATATCTAGAATTGTCTAGTCCCCAAATGTTTGTTTTCTCGTTAAATTAAGTCAACATTGTGCATGTATGCAGGCATGTGAATATCTTAGTATAAACCTAAGTAAGCATCTGTAGATAATATAACTGATTCATAATGATGATCCTGACTTTTATGAAAAGTTATTATATTTCATATAGTATATAGATGGACTCTTTATAAAATTCATTCTATTTATACAGGCCAGTTTTAAAGTATTTTGAAACATTTCTACTTAGGTTAGACTCTTTTTCCAAAGGATGCTAGGAACAACCAGTTTAACCCCAAATTGGCGTTATTTTAAATTCTTTCTTGTTTGGATTATTCACCATACTATTGATTCTTTGTATCTCATTCTGGGCGACTGATCCACTAATTTGCAGATTTGGGCTCGTTTTTTGTGGCTCACTTTTGTTGTATTGATATCTTGTGGCGCCACCTACTGACACGAATTGATAAACATAAGGCTTTAAGCCTGTCAGCAAAGAGATGTATGAAGGACTAAAGAAAATAGACTTACAGGGGACTAGAATTTTAGCACTGGAGAAACTCTTGGAGGTTACCTAGCCTGGTGATGAATTTTACAAAAGAATAAACTCAGATTCTATTATCTGTGATGACTACACCCCCCCCACCCCCGCCATTTTCCAAATTATTGCAGTGTTCCAGTTCAGAGAATTTCATGGTCATTTTTTCATGGTCATTCTGCCATTTTTATGAGTCTTTCTTAGACTTAAAAATAAACTAAACAGAATGAGAAGTTAATGAGAAACTTGCAAATTGTAAATTAATTAATAGTGGCATTCAGATTAGGCTGCATAAAGAACCTTAAGAGGACTTAAAAGCAAGGGTCTTTTAACAAGCAGAAGAATGGATTATACGCATATACAAAAGGGAAAATTAAAACTAGATGTTTAATGAATAGAACAAGTTATTTCCTCACAGTAAAAATTCAAGTCCAATACTGTGATGAAATGGAAAACATTCAGAGAATAGGAGAAAATATGGATTAGAGGATTATATGTATATAAGTTTGAGGTATATACATTATTTTTAGGAGGACTAATTTTTTTAATTTAATATTTTAGATGCCATACTTCATAGTAAAAGATATTGGGAACTTTTTAACTTAGCAAGAATTGGTATAAAAGTTTTAAGTGAATGTGCAAGAATAAAATTTTGCTGTGAGATTAGTTGGAGCTGTTTTATGAACTTTCTAGCTGAATATGTCAGAAAACTTCCTTGTATATTGAAAATGAATAGACATAACACTTAATATAAGCACCACACACCATTAAAGTCATCTGTGTTGTCCCTGCTTTTCTTACCCTCCATATATTCATTCACCTAACCAAGAAGAATGTGTTCTTATGTCCTTTTTATTTCCTTTATCATTTTAGCAGCGTCACCCTTTATACCAGAAAGCTGGCGGGCACTATGGGGAAAAAACAAAACAAGAAGAAAGTGGAGGAGGTCCTAGAAGAGGAAGAAGAGGAATATGTGGTGGAAAAAGTTCTCGACCGTCGGGTGGTAAAGGGCAAAGTAGAGTACCTCCTAAAGTGGAAGGGTTTCTCAGAGTAAGTTTCACTGACCTGGGTAAATCGATTCATTTTTAACTATTTCTTAGGAGTTTAGTAATATGCAAGGCCTAGGGTTATCTGATGGGTACTGTGTGACTTGGGCCTGGCCTTCATAGCTTATAGTCTAACTAAGAGAATGATCTGCATGTACAAAGTGCTGTGATGTAAGACAGCAATTTCTGAGGAGCCATTTTGTGTGTGGTCGACTGATCAAAGTTCACAAAGAGAAAGTAATTTTCCTTTGAAAAGAGGCAAGTTTCTAAACTTGCAATTTGTACTAAAATGGTCCCCACCACTCCCAAGAAATTTCAGCTTTGCCCAGTTCTTGGTCTTGGGCAAAATCTAGTTACTCATTATTGTTAACTCCTTTTCCAGGGACACCAGCTCTTGTCCTCCTGTGCTTCTCCTTTGTATGAGTATGCTAACTTGAATGGAAAGGGTGACTCACTCTGCCTTCTGATTTCAGTGAGGACAACACATGGGAGCCAGAAGAGAATCTGGATTGCCCCGACCTCATCGCCGAGTTTCTGCAGTCACAGAAAACAGCACATGAGACAGATAAATCAGAGGGAGGCAAGCGCAAAGCTGATTCTGATTCTGAAGATAAGGGAGAGGAAAGTAAACCAAAGAAGAAGAAAGAAGAGGTAAGGCTAGGAGTAAAAATTGTTACTAGCCAGAATTCTTACTGCTCTCAAAGAAGCTTGAAAGCCAGTTAATTTCAGCACTTTTGTTTTGCTGCTTCTTGGATTTCAGCAGCCCTCTCTCATTCTTTCTGGAATCTTGGGTAGGCTGATGCTTACAGAGTGTCTGGGGGCTCACTCTTGCAAAGCCCACATAATCTCTTATTTTATCTGAGATTCAAAAACAATTCATTCCTTTAAGTGGATAGCTTTTAGTGTTTTGACCATTATAGGTTTGAGGTGGCTATTTTAATCTATTCAGTGCCTTAAAGTAGGTTGTCTTTGAAGGGTTAAGAAACCATTGTGAACATTTATTTTGCTTAAGGTATATGTCCCTTTTTACATGTGGGGAAATCTTGAGTGCTTCAGGCCTTAATGGGAATTGCTCAGAATGATTTTAAAAGGCCTGTGTCTTGGAGCCATGGTATTGGTGAAATACTGGCAAGAGTTTGAACACATTAATCAGAGAAACAGAAGTAGCTGCAGTCTGGATAATAGTCCATATAGTTTAAATTGTTCTGTCCATCTGGTTTTTGCAGTCAGAAAAGCCACGAGGTTTTGCCCGGGGTTTGGAGCCAGAGCGGATTATTGGAGCTACAGACTCCAGTGGAGAACTCATGTTCCTGATGAAATGGTGAGTCTGTCAGTGGCTCTGTGTGGCTATTTTTTTCTTCTCCCATTTGTTCCATGCCAGAGGAAAAGAGCTGGACCTTCGAAATTCCAGTCACCCAGGTGTGAAATCTTTAAGATGGCATAGTCCTTCGATAGTGACTCCCGGCCTGACTGCCAACCTGGACTCATGATTTACAGGTAGGGGCCCTTAGGATTCTCAGATTTTTGCCCATTTTTTGGAGGTGGGAGAAAATCTAGAGTGGAGATGGTATGGAGAGGAATCACATTTCACTTCTGTAAGTGAAGGGGAAAATATGAAATGTGATTGAGCCACCCTCCCCTTCTACCACCTCCTTAACAAAGATAGGGCTGGCCCTAGGATCAGGAATTCTGTTAACTTCTCAGGGTTAGGAGGGAATTTCTGTAGCTTTTCTTTGGCTTTGTCCTTGATTGATAGATCCTTTCCAGTTTGTACAGATTCTACAATTCCAGGATCAGCCAGCAGGGGTCAGCAAGACCCCTTTCCAATATACTGAGCGTAGAGCAAGCATACTTTTCTCCATTAGAAGTATAAACAAACACCAGTGGTAGTAATACTCCATGAACAGCTTAATGGAAACAGTTGTCTTGAGAATCTTAAGAACTGTAATTAGCCCAAAATTCTCTATAATTTCCTTACTTTCTGTCCAAAAGGCAGGCTTTCTTTTTTTTTTTTTTGCTTGATGAAAGTGGTTTGCTTTCTCTCCCCTAAGTGGATTTCAATCATTGTTTTTAAAATATAAATTAAGAGTTAGTAATTTTAAGCCTTTGCCAGTGAAAGCAGCATTCTAGCTTTGTCCTTTTGTCAGTCTAGAACCTTCTCTAAAACTCACATCTGTACTAATCCTTCTCCTTTAGAAGGTGACCAGAGAGGGCTAACTTTACCACCACTGAAAGCCTATGTCACAACTAGCTAAACCTGTTTTTTCTCCCTGTGCATTCCCTAGGTGTTTACTGAATCTGACCTTCTTTTAGCTGATTTATTGCTAGCCTGTAGGTGAAAAGTTGTTTTTTTGTTTTTTTGTTTTTTTAAGCTCATTTTTTAGGGTGCTGTATATGGGAGGAAATAATTGATTCCAGGAATTATTCAGTACAACTAGAATACACTTTCTCTGTCTGCATGTGACCAGTCTGAGTCATAGTTGTATCTCCATATTGCTTAAGATTATACTCCTTTGGTTGACTCACTGCTATGTGTAAAGATTACAGCTGAATATAATTCTACAGGTTAAGATTGATGTTAATTATATAACCATGTTCATTTTAAAGTGATTTTCTTGGAGAGTAGAAAATACTTGTCCATTTCTAAAAATAGCAGATATTTCTATGCAGTGTAATGACCGAATTTACCTCAGAGGGTGTTGTTGAATTGTCAGCAAAGGGCAGTCTGCTTCAGGTTCTCATATTATATTCCTTTCCTTCCCATTGAGTCCATTGTTCAGAAACGTACTTTACCAGCTTCCTCTTTGGTTCCATGGGGCTCTGTGGCTTTGGTTTACTTGTTGCTGGGTTTCTGGAAGTTTTGAGTGGTGGTATCTTATCAGAGATCATGTATCTGCTGCCTGCCCTATGCTGCTCCTTTCATCTGGGACATTCCCAATGACCTGAAGATAGAGCTTACCCCTATGTTCCTTGTAATATGGATGTGATTTTCAAAATTTAGGAAGATTTTAAAATTCAGAAGAATATAGAGAATTATATAATAGTCCCTTCATTTTCTACCTCCCAGTGTCGAAGCACCATTTCAAAGCACCTGGGAGTTATGGCATAGCTGTGCGAGCATGGCATTTGGTAATGTTAAGTAATATAAGAGTCAGCAAGTAAGTGTCTACCTGTATTGTCTCTGGCCAATGACAGGTTGGTATTAAGTCTTATCCAACTTGGTATGAAACCCTTTTACAAAGCTAAGATCTCTCTTTGGGTTCTTAGCAGCTGGGATGTGGCTTTTGGAAGACAGCAGTAGCCTCTCTTTTTCCCTCAGAGAATCCAAGAGTCATACTTTTTTTGAACTTTCCCAGGAGTTCAGATGTGACAGATTGAGTTAGGTGATCTAGTGTTTTACAAAGATACCTAGAGGGGATTTTTAACAGAGGATCTCCAAAGATGTCACTTGACTAAAATCTGCCAGTAGATGCTAGTTGGGCCATGTTTGCATCCTTCCTTAGCTTATTCTTCTGAAATTAATATTTTTAAAGCCCTTTCCCTTAGGTGATCCAAGTTGGGAGACCACTAGCACCTGGCCTCAAAGTCTCTCTCTGCTTTGTTCTGCAGGAAAAACTCTGACGAGGCTGACCTGGTTCCTGCCAAGGAAGCCAATGTCAAGTGCCCCCAGGTTGTCATATCCTTCTATGAGGAAAGGCTGACGTGGCATTCCTACCCCTCAGAGGATGATGACAAAAAAGATGACAAGAATTAACTCTCCTGAGTACCAGCTCATGTCACATCTGACTGTGCGTTTCAAGTGGGGAGGGGAAGGAGTTCTACTTGTCTTGACACCATAGAGGTGGCTTGAGAAGATGTCCTTTGAAGAGCCAGTATAGTTTCTGTGCCCTACAGCAGTCCAAGTGCTTTAAAGCCGTTCCATGCTGTATAGTTTGCACACCCATCCCAGTGGAGGGGAGGAGAAGTGTTCCAAGGCAACTCATTCTGCACTTTGCTGAGAAAAGCAAAGGGCCTTCTATGAAGGACAAAACTTGCAGAATGGGTGTGTGGGAGAGCAAAAAGATACTGTAGATCTTCAAAGAGCATCTCCACAACCCACAGCCTTCTTCCCAATAGTGTTAACTCTGCATTTTTACAGCGTAGCATGTGTGTAGATTTTGGCTATTACTGACTGGTGTATTATTTGGGGGTGGGAGGGATGGGGTGGGAAGCAAGGGAGACGGGTAGGATTGTTTTTGTTGAAATTTGGGGCCTAATTGGGAAAATGGTGCAACATTGGAAAGAACAAACAATTAATGATGACTTCAGTTCTGTGTCCAGAATATTTTATCTTTTCAAAAAAAAAAAAAAGTCATTGGCAATCTAAATAAGGACTGTGAGAGACTGTTTAAAAGCTGTGACTGCCTGAAACTTAAAAGCCAAGGTGTTCCCTGCCTGAGCTTAATGCTGTTCCCAACAAAGGACTAAACCAGTTCATAAAATTACCAAAGCTGCCATTTTGGAGATGGAAACTGGTTGAGGAGGTAAAGTCTTTTATTGGAGCATATACAAAGGCAGATCATTCTGTCTTAGAGGTGCTAATTCTTGAAATTGACAAAAGACCCTTTCTTTTCTAATTATGAAGTTATTAGCTTGTCTATCCAAGCCACTGTCTAAGGGAAGAAGGGGGCATAGGAGGTGTGATAGTATGGAGAAGGGCCCATGCTCTTAGGGTGGAAAACTCTTGGAGCCTCTCTGTTTTTTGAACTATGAACTCTGAAACCACTGGTGGCAGGGTTCAGTCACTAACAGCACAAGTTCATTGAATCACTTCAAGAGTTAGATTATTTCAAAAGCCCTGGTCTCAGGAGAAGATTAAACTTTCATACTGGGGCAGTGGTTCACTTTAAAACACAAAACAAAATGAAAATTCTTTTTTAATCCTAAGAATTAACTAATACCCAACATGCTGTCTTGAATCATGAGATACATCAGTTCTTGACGTTATCTAGACCTGCATCTAGAACTCCATTGTAAAAAAATTTTTTAGGCATGTGTTAGGTTTCTGTGAAAACTGTTTAAATGTAAACTTCATACCACACTGTCAGTTTTTGTCTTAATAAAACTATATAGATTTATAATTCTTGATTTCTGTCTTAAGTATTACCAGCAACCCGCCTTGCCTTTAATTACTTTACAGGTTCAGCCTTTTGGAAACAGCTTCCACACTTGGTTGATTTTATTTCTTGAACATTGTAGGCTTGAAAATCTGGTGGCTGCCCTGAATCTTTTGAGTGGTCTCACCACATTGAGTAAATATTTATTGAGCATTTATAATTGCTGCAAAGACTATAATATTGTCACATCATTCTGTCTTATTGCTCAAAGGTTATCTGTTTAGCCCTCTGTGACCTGATAGCACTTTCAAACTATGATATATTTTGGAAACATGGTTTTTTGAATTAGGTTTAGATCCTGGCTCATGTATTTCAGATTTGTGTGACCTTAGCTAAAGTCAGCTTCACCAGCATTTTCAGGAATTAGACCTGGCTTTGATCACTGTATTAATTTAAAATGTTATCTATTTTTTCTGAAGGTTTTCTGCCTGTAGTTTAGAGCCAAAATGGAACTAGGCTCTTGCCATTTATAAAAAGAGAAAATGGGAGTTCTACAAAAAGCAAATTAGTGTGAGAATTTGGCTCTACTCTTTAGTACAAAGCATTTGTTTCAAATAAACTGACCTGGAGATACTTTTTTCAAAAAGTCTCCTAGGAGTTTGGGGAGAGTAAGATGGAGCTGAGCAGGCCTTTCTGTGCAGAGGTCTGAGTGTGTCCTTGTAGTTGCAGCAGCAGAGCAATCAGTAGCTAGATGACAGAGTTGGGGTGAAGTGGGCAGAGATGATCTGATTCTTTTCTGCATCATAAGATGCACTGAAATTAGCCTTCAGCTTTGGTGCGTGTTGTATGGGCTGCTCTTGTAGCCTTAACCTTTGGAACCTACTTCATTGTCATTCCTGAGCTCTTGCAAAACCGTATCATTCTATCCAGGGAAGACACTGAAATTGATAATATGTACAATGAAAGTTGAAGTGGAGATAGATGTTTCAAGTTGTTACCTTTAAAAGCCAGTTATCACATTTCTAGATTCAAGGTTTAATGATAAGTTTTTCTCGAGTGATTATTAAAGCCACAAGTGCATGCAGAAATGTTAGAAATAAAAAATACAAATCTTGAATCAACTTCAGAAAGTATTTGGAGAGCATTTCTTCAGGCAGTGCAAAATGTGTTTGTTGGAAGGCTTCAATGAAATTGCATCATCATAGACCTCTTGCTCAGAAGTTGAAGAGGTGATAGGTTATTATCTGAGTTACTATTACAGAAGAAAGAGAGCTTACTAATGCGGTGGCAGCAGCATTACTGGAGGTGTCCTGCATTGGCAGAGCCAGTCAAAAAACAAAACAAAACAAAACTTGCTCTTCTACTGTTTTCAGCTGACTTTCAAGTTTGTACAGTATAATGATCACAGGAGCAGTCCATCAACTGACAGTGCTCAGGAATAATTATTTCTGCTTTTCAGTGTCATTTGAAAGTTTTGACTACTGATTTTAAGTAATTGTTAATATTTGAGTTTTTAAGTACTTCCAAATAGAATCTTAAATTCCAGCACTCTTTCACACTCTGCTCGGTTTGATTTTAACCCATGGCCATTGGTGTTTGGCTTTGTGTGCTCAGCACATCTTCATAGTCTGGCCTGTGGCATTGGCTACCTATGTTACAATTATTTCCCTCATACAGAAAGGGGAAATGATAGAGGAAATTACTACTCCAAAATAAGTAGGTGGAACTGGGACTCCGAAATGCAAATTTTCTACAGTGGCTCCAGATCCCGAACTATGTGTGGACCTGGGTTCTGTTCGAGATAAAATTAATCTGATCTGAAGGTTGGCTCTTCTCATGAGGATGTTCTCATTTAAAAATTTAGAGCTTAAAAAAATTTAGAGCTGATAGGACTGAAATAAGTCCAAGCCCAGTGTTTTCCTTTCTCTAGAATTTGAAATACCAGTATCACCACCAGGCCAGCATTCAGCTTAGTAGAGGAAGGAGTCTTGGCTTTACAGTAGGAAGCAATTAGGTAGAGGTATCTGGTGTTCCAGTGTGTGGTCAGGAAGTTTGATTGAGGAGCTTAAGGTCGTCCCCAGACAACCATCAGTCTCTGATCTATATGTCACCCTTAGTTTGTCCAACATTGAAGTGTTCTACAAAAGTTACTGCTTTCCTAGCCAATGTGTTTAAGTTGCTCATTGTTGTTACATGGGTGACTTTTAATCGATCTTGGCCTTGAGCACTTCCCATTGAATAAATTCCTGAATATTGGAAGCAAATGAAATCTGAAATTAAAACTATCCTGCTGGGATGAAAAAGCATAGTTGGCCCTACTCTGTGGGAACAAGTAGAGCATTACAGGTGACCCTTGAACAACGCTGGGGTTGGGTGCCAACACTCCCCATGCCCCCCCAGTCAAAAATCTGCATAGAACTTGACTCCCCCAAAACTTAATAGCCTACTATTGACCAGAAGAAGCCTTACAGATAACATAAACAGTCGATTAACACATTTTGCATGTTTATAATGTATTATATACTGTACTCTTAAAGTAAGCTAGAGAAGCTGTTAAAATCAAAAGGAAAAGGAAATACATTTACAGTATTGCATAAAAAAATCCATGTATCCGTGAACCCATGCAATTCAAACCTGTATTGTTCAAGGGTCAACTGTAGTCTGTTCTAAGGCTTTTTTTCCCTTTTAGGCCAGTGAGGTGGCAGAACTTCAAGGTAAGGCTGAAACATTAAGTTTACAGTATGTGTTGACAGTGCAGTTCTGTAGTTTGTTTATATTAAATAACTTGCGTTAAAATAGTCAACAGCAGGTCCGAGTCTGCATTGTGACCTAACAAGGTTGGCATGGTGGTTTGTGATAGTACCAAAGCCACTGTTTACCCCATGTGGATTTTTAAATCCTAGTTGACTTTGATCAATCCTGCCCTGTTTACTGTTTGTATAGCCTGGGGTCAGGCTGGGTCACTTTGGGGCCTGGTTCAGGGATAGGGGCCCATTGTTTTAATTACTGCTTCAGCCCCTACCCTGATTGGAAGGTTTAGGACAACATAATTTGCCTAATTAAATTTGTGTTAAAAGGTTGAGTGAATTCCCCAAGTTAACTAGGTTTTGTTTCCTTGGTTGAAATAGCATCTGGAATGAAGTAACAAATACTAAGCAAGCTATCTCCACTCTGCAATTAGACTGGAAAAGAACCAACTTTAAGGTTGGTATTTTTGTGTACTCAAAAAGGAAGACAAGCGTTTCTATCTGACTAATTTTGAAAACACATCTTTAGTAAGGTCCCATACTCACTCCTCTGGAGATAACTTGTATACTAGATTCTGTTTCTCAACTAATTCAGGCAGTTGTGAACTTCGAAAGGATTCCTGGATAGAACAAGGACTAGAACTCAAATCAGGTGTTGTCTTTCACATGTATCCTCAGTCCCTGAATGCTCCTTCACCACCACAAAGTTCAGAACTAGAGGCAAGGAGGATGACTGACCTCTGTGTGAGAAGTAAAGGTGAAAGAAGAGTTACTGTTCTTGGTGCACTGACAAAATGCCAAGTCCAAGGTCTGTGGGTCCCTGTTCACTTCCCAGAAGGATCAATGACAAGAAAACAAGGCTTAACCACTTATGATTATCAGGCACATGTGTTTTGCTAGAGAATTTCTACACTTGGCTGGGAAGACCAATTCCAGAGGCAGACACCAGTCTGGCACCCATATTTGTATATGAGTAGTTTCAATGAGGAAATGGACTTCCGGCTGGCAGTGCCCTAAAACTACTAATTTAGTCTAAGCTTCTAAAGCTGTTGCTCTAGGTCACTTGCCTGCTAGATGTGATAGCCTTGAGGGTGGTGGGGTTTCCTGCAAGGCACTTGTTTTTCCACCTATTTGCCAAACAAACCTGAAGAGCACCAAGGCCTGGTGTAACCTGGGGTTGTAAAAGCACGGATGGGGGCAGCCTGAGGGAGGCTGAGCTCCACAGAAAGTACTTCCCTGATCACCAGCTGTTTGCCTAGCTGCAGTTTAGCTAAGCTTTCCCTTAATAAAGTTGGGGAGTCAGCCGAGGAGGCCAGGTCTTGCTGACACTGAGCATGTCTCTAGATAACTATTCTCTCCCCCCCACCCCCAGTTCTATATTCTATTTTTGATAGGAAATATCTGCAACCCCATTGGTGAGATCTGTGCAGGGCAGAGGTTGAAACAATGGATCTGTTTCCATCTCACATGAATTAAGATGTATGCAAATTTGGTTTGAATGAAGCCTGGGACTGCTGAAGTCAAGACAGAGCAAGCTTTCCACCCCCACCTAAGCAGGTCGCCCTGAAGTTTGCTACTTAGTTATGAATGAGGCCTGCTCATCTCACTGCCAATTCTTGGTCTTCTTTTCACTTCTTGTCTTAGATATAGTAGCTCTTTCACAGACCTTCCTTGAGCCTTCCTATCTTCCTGCCAGAAAAAGCCTTGAAGCTGGAACACCCACTCCACCTGCCAGCAGCAAAAGAGGTCAGCCCCACAGCAGTGCTGACCAACTTGGCTCAAAGCCCCAGCTAATCAGCGTGATCCTAGACGTGACTGTACATCTATCTTTCCATAAGGGGACGTGGGGGAGAGAGTGACAAAAACATTTTCTCAGACCAGGGGCAACAATGACAAAGGATGAGAAGTTTTCTCTTAAGCTTAAAAAAAAAAAGTTGTAAAACAAGTTATAGCCTAATAGTGTACAAACCGAACAAAGATACACATTTCTAGAAGGAATACAAAAACATTACTCTCTGAATTTTACTTGTTCGGTTTACTCTTCTATACATAATTTGTATTTTTTTATCAATATGAATTAAAGTTTTTCAAATTTAACTTTGTCTTTTTCTCCTTTAAGAATCTTGCTTACAAAAATTACTTAATTCCTAATTAGGAAAGAGCTCTTGTTTATATGACCAACCCTTTCTAACTAGAGATGGGGGAAAAGCCATTATAAATTGAAAGAAACAAGAAATCAATGTTATACCTGGATTCTCTTCTACCCCTTAGGATAAACACTAGCAGCAGCATTAAAGGACTGGGCTGAGCCAGGTAACAAACACAGTGGTACGTGGGAGTTCAAGGTCACAGGTTCCATTATGGAGATGATTACAGCTTCTGGTCCTAAACCTTGTCCAGTAATCTCAGGCTGCCAGGTGAGCATTCATCATGATGCACCTACTCCAAGATGGCCATGGGGCAGTTCCAACCACCACCCCAGTACCTCGAAGCATCAGCACTTCACAGGCTTGTGTTAAGGCAGGTTTTTTGTTTTTGAGGGAGATTTCTGGTCACCTTAGCTGGGGCTTTCCGATGCCTCGAATCTGGAGTCCAGCTTCCCGCTTCTCTAGTTCTGTGGCCCTGCTTCCTTACACCAAAGTGCTTGGCATGTGTTGGTGCTGTGGATTCCTCTGGTTTTCACCATCATGGTCATTGGTGTGACTACTCGCCAGTGCTCTGTATCTCTTTGGCAGGTGGTATCACCAGAGAAATAATAGCAGTCAAGATGAAAAGTTTGTCACGGGTGGACAGACAAGGAACTGGGCCAGGTGACACCTCCCCATAGCCTAGCCCAATGAGCAAGGCTAAAAAGATTCTGAATCCTTCCTAAGCAGATTCAGCTGGCAAACCTTGTAAAGAGGTATAAAACACCAGCTTGGAATGTTTATTACAGGGGGTAAGACTATTCTGTTATACTCATTGTCAGCCTCCCCTAGTCTCCACCCACCTTCCTATGTAAGCTCTGCTTTAGCCACACAATGGCCAGTCCTCTCCTCCAGAGGCCTGTTTACTCTCAATTTAAATTCAAGGTAGGGAAAAATTGCACTTGAGAATGAATCATCCATTTTATTTTATTTTGTCATGTGCTCACAGCCTCTCTCCTCTCCCTGGCACGTCACAAAGATAAATTAAAAATAAAATCTACAAGGAAAATAATTTATAAAAGCACTTTCCAGGCTCATGCCTTCTATCCCTACTGCTCAGTTAATATGTCGCTTTCTCCCCCCTAAGTGGGAAGGAGAATCAGTGCTTCCTCAACTCACTCCTGCCAGTCTGGGGCAGACAGTACTCCAGAGCCAGGCATGGGTGGGGGCAGCAGTGGCAAAGTTAAAGACACTGGTCCTGGAACCATCTGGCCATCTTGGTACTCCCCTCTCTGCCTCCCCCAGGCAGTCCTCTAGGAGCCCCTGCTAAGCTGGGAGTGCAGAGAGGCTGCCTGTGGCCAATATCCTGGGTGGGTGGGGGGAAGGGAGGTGCTCTCAGCCCCCATTACACACACTTCTCATTCTCCTAGGAAGAAACCCAAAAAAGAAAGCAGACAGAGACCTCAGGACAGAGGAGAAAAATCCCAAATGTTCACACAGTTACACGGAGTCTTTATGGCAAAGAGAACATTTAGCAGCTTTGAATATTGGGGTATCTCCTTTTTACTCAACACAAGCATTCTAGACCCTATAAGTGAAACAGGGCTCAAGCCCTAAAAAAAACCAAAGCGCGAGAAACTAAAAGGACTAGTTTTTTGTTGCTGCTGCTGGGTTTTGTAGTTTTGTCTTTTCCAGTGATAAGCCCAGTTGTTAGTGGGAGGCCTGAGGGAAGGGTCACTCCCCAGTGTTGTGCTGAATACTTTCTGGCTTCTCTCTATCATCCCCCTACCTCAGAGCAGCCCCCAGGAGGCTGCAGGCCCAGCACTGGGGGCACTGCCAGCACCCCAGCTGCAGAAGAGCTGGGCTGCAAGTGAGGGGCAGGGTAGGGGGGAGGAAGAGAACAGCATTCGCATGCAGGCTCTGATGGAGTCGTTGGAGCCTCAGCTCAGGGGTGACTGGGCACAGGAGACGGAGTGGCAGAACAGTGAGTGACATGCTTGGTGTCTGGACTGCTTCAACACAAGGCCTTGTGACCCGACCCTTTCCTGTTCATGCTACCCTTTAACCCTAACCCTAACCTCCAAGCCAGTGTTGGGTCCCAGTGGCTCCCCTATGAAACATTCCAGGGAATATCCAAGAGCTCCCCTTCAGGGATGCCAAAGTGCAGGAGCAGGAAGAGTTCACAAAGCCCCTCCCAGAACCCACCCTGTCTGTGGTGAAGTGGGGTTTACTCACACCAATGACCTAGTCCCACCTAAAACCTGCTGCCTAGAATCCTGGCCAGGTTCAACCTTAACCTGCACTTTTTTCTTCCAGCTTTGATTTTTAATTTTTTTGGTTTTCTTTCCTTCCTTCCCTCCCTCCTTCCAGGAATGAGACTTTTTACTATTTTCTTCTCTTCTCACAAGTCCCTTCCTTCCCCTTTGTCGGCCCTCATCAATGCCATCACCACCCCTTCCCTTGAAGGAAAAGGGTAGGCGTCAGGACCCTGTCCACCCAAACTGTCTGGTTACTTCCACCCTCCTGAGTGGGGGAAGCTGAGCCAGACAGCACCTGTGCCCGACACTTCCTGTCCACTGACCCGCAGTCATCCCATCTGAGATCATCTATTGGATAAGAAGGCATTAAAGTCCCCCACTGTGTAGGTCCAGGTCCAGGCCCAGCCCTTCTCCAGTTTCCACCTTGGTGAGTGTCAATCCCCTCCTCCTCCCCAGGCTCACTTTCTCCTGTCCTTTGGCTTCCTCTCCTGTCGTCGGGCCTGCTGGTCAGCCAGGGTGCGGGGAATGAGGAGGACACTGCCATCTCCGGCGTACTGGAGTGCGTACTGACTGGGCGAGTAGGGTCGCCCATTCTCATCTCGCAGCCGCCCAAACACCTCCTGGTACAGGCTCTGGACCTTCTGCTTCATCTGCCGCAGGGACCGGAGGAACTCCACCTTCTCCCGCAGCAGTCGGGCTTTATCGCGCTGCAGGTCCTCTACATCCCGCTCCAGGTTCAGGATGGTATCCAGCTTGCGCTTGCGGCAGTTCTGCGCTGCCATCTTGTTCTTACCCCGGCGGCGGATGTCCCGGATGAGGCTCAGCTGGGCTTCGCTGAGCTGGTATTTGGACAACAACTCATTGAACTCCTCCACAGGCAGGTTGATGATTTTGTCATTGGTGAAGGGGATCTTCATGGCTCGGGCTCGATGCTCATCCCGGCTCATCTGCTTGTCTAGGAAGTCGGTCTGCTTCTCTTTGCTGCCTTTCTTGAGGGCGCTGGGTGGTGGCATGTCAGCAGAGTCAAGAGCACTGGGCGCCATGTTGTACGTGTGGTTGTGGCCCACATGCTCCAAGTAGGGCAGGCAGGAGAGCTGAGACGGATCCTGGTAGCTCATGCGGCAGAACTTGGAATATTCAGGCTGATAGCCAACAGCGCCCTCAGCCTCTTCTAGATCCAGGGTCTCAGAGTCAGAGCTGTAGCCAACAGCACCTTCCTCAGAAAAGGAGGAAGAGGCAGAGGAAGAAGTGGAGGAGGAAGAGGAAGAGGAAGAGGAGGAAGAAGAGCTTCCTTCAGAGCTACTCAGGGAAGAAGGGCTATGGCTAGAGTCCAAGGAGAGGCCTGAGTCAGAGTCAAATTCTTCTTCAAGCTGGGAGGCCTGCACGGGGTTGAAGCCTTCTTCAATGGCCAGGTCCATCAGGCTAATCTCATCCAGCATGGCTTCATCTAACAGACCCCCCAGTGGGTCAGGCAGCTCGGGGCCTGCTGTGTCATTGGCTGTGCCATTGAGCTGGGGTGGAAAGAAGAGGCCCGCCAGGTTGGTGGAGCCAAAGGTGGTGTTGAGGCTGGTAGAATTGCTGGGGACCAGCGGGAGCAATGTGGAACTGCCGGCCACGGGCAGGCTCTCCACCTCAGGGCTGAAGAGTGAGAAGTCCTGGCTGCAGCCCCCCAGAGATGCCTGATGCAGGCTGACATTCTGATTGATGGGAGTGTTGGGGGCAAGGCTGTAGTTGGTGCTCAGTGGGTCTCCAGGAGGGGCACTGTACAGGATCTCACTTGTTGATGTGTTCACTTCCATCGCCTGGCAGGGGAGAAGAGCATCACCTTTCACTCAGAGCAGACTCCCCAGGTGAGGCGGGGGGCTCACACTAGCAGACATCCAACACAAGAGACTGGAAATCAGAGCCCATAGTGTCAGCTCCTGGCCCTGCTTGGTCCACAAGGCCTGGCAGAGAGAGGTTCTTCCCTATGGACTCCACCCCAACGTAGGACTGACCAGCTCATGTTTGGCCAGACTCCTTCATCTTGGAAGGAAAGTAAGAAAACACCTAACACTGACTACCTCTTCAGTGCAAAATCAGCAGAGTGAAAAGACCAAGCCTTGGAGTGAGAAAACCTAGCTGCACCACTGACTGCGACCAGGGGCGTATCGCTTAACCTCCCCGAGCTTACATTTCCTCACCTTTCATATTGTGGGCTGACTAGATGATTGTGAGGGCCAAGTGAGATGCCGATAGCTATAAAGTTTTTATCAATGCTAAACTCTGGAAGCACCCAACCAAGTGATTATTTGCTTGAAGGAAAAGAAGAAGGTACACCTAGGAGGCAGGCCTACTTTAAAAGGCTCAGCTATGGGGTTTTAACCCATACCCCACTTCTGACTCTACTCCCTACTGCCCCAAGGAGACACCTGGACAGTCCACACTTTCCTATAGATCAGAGAGGTATTAATCTTTCTCTTCCCAGAGATGGAAAAGCAATTGACTGCTAAGGTACCCCACACAAAGTCCTATAGGTGTGTGTCTTGTTATGATAATCCTACCTGCATTTCCATGATGGACATGAGATCTTGCCACTGCTGTTCCAAATCAAATGGTGACTCTGTCCCCGTTAGGAGGGGAGATAAGAGGTTGTTTTGAAGACCTGGGGACTCACTCTCACTAGGCACTGCTTCTGTTAAGCTGGAAATGTCTGCTGGAAACTGGGGCAAAACACAGAGACTTTAACAGAGAAGGAAGACCAGCTTTCTGCTTTCCTCCCAGAGACCACCACCTGAGGTTCTGTTTATTCCTTCCTGAGTTCACCCCCAGCAACCAAGAAAAGGCCAGCACCAAGAGCTGGTCCCTCAGGCAGCTGCGGAGGGACACAGCGTGTACAGGCTGCCTTGCTGGTGCGGTGGGCTCTCCCTGGAGTCCTGCTCACATCGGCATTCTCCCCAAAGGGGCATGTGGCCTCCAGCAGCCTAAGGCACTCTTCTAGGGACAGGGCCGTCTGGTCCTCCCCACCAGGCACTTTTGGCAATAGCAACTGTAAGTCGGACTGATCTGTGCCTATGCTGCCTGCAGGCCGAAGCTTCTTCCCCAGCCTTTCCACAGGGGCGCTGAAGAAGGACCTGTGTGGTCGCAGGCCTATACTCTCCTTTTGTTCCCGGGCTAACTGACCCTAAGTCCCAAACTCCAAGGGAGAACAGAGGGAGAGTGTTAGAGCCCTAACATAAACAGGAAGCTGCTAAGTGTTTTACCTCCTCTGTGCTGTTTGTTACTAAGGCTTGGCCCCTCTGCTTCTGTTCTGCTCACCTACTCCCCCTTCTTCAGCCCACTCACTGTGACTTAGAGACCCCACCCAAAATATACATTCAGGTCCATCCCACAGACACAACCTGCCTTCTCGAAGGAGAGGTTTCTGGGATTGAGCAGAGATGGGAGTACCTGGGCAGGGAAGCTCTCCCCAGTTTCTCCATCCACTAGCAGGTTTCGCGCCAGAGCTTCTGCGCCCTCGCCTGGCCAGGTGTCGTCCTGCTCCGCTCCATCTTGCAGTTCCTTATCCACATCCTGCTCTTTCTGGCGATGACTATAATCAAATATCTCACGCCCAGCCCCCAGGTCAATATCCTGTCGCCAAAGGATGTCAATCAGATCTATGTCCTGAAAGACAGATCACCGTGACTTTAGCTGAGTCCAGGGGCCCCTCCCTCCCTGTCCTCCCCCTTAGAGGTCCCTCCTAGCATCACTCGAGTTATTCCTGGGTGAGGCCCCTCCCAGCCCTATACCCACCAGCCTTTACTCCTGCTTCTCTATACCAGCAAGACTTCATTCATCCACTTCCAGACACCAGCTTCCAAAAAAACCAGGCACTAGTAAAAACCACTAGCGTAACCATCACCATATAAGACGGTGGGCTTAGGATCTGAACCAGAGAGACACAGCCAGGCCAAAACGCAAGGCTACCTCCCCACTAAGAAAGACGGGGGAAGCGTGAGTAATTTCTCACTTGGGGAAAGGGAATCCCTTAAAACTTGATTTGTAGACCACGGCAAGCAAGGGCGAACTGTCATGCAGAACTGCTTCCTGGTGGCCAGGCTTGCATCAGCCTATGGTGCCATTCATTTGCATAAAGGGGTGGGGTGGGCTGGGCTGGGCTGGAGAGGAAAATCCCTGCATTTACAACCACCTGATGCAACCAATGACAACAACAGACTGTCTCCAGTCCTTCCTACAGCCAGTCCCCCTTCCCTGGCAGAGGCAGGAGTTAAGGCTGAACACCCACAACTCTTAAAGCCCCGGCTCACCTCAAGATCCATCTCTGCCAGAATCCCCACTCTCGGCTGCTCCTAGCAAGCTGCCTTGATCCCAGGAGAGCCTCAGGCTGTCAGCTGATCCTCACTGGGCACCCCACCCCGGCCAAGGCCGGTCCCACGGTGCCCCCTCAGACCAGTGCTCTCACTCCCTTCCTTACCACACCCCAGGGCTCACTGACTCCATCATTCAACCCATTCAAGGACATAGCCCCCATCACTGCTCAGCCACAACAGCCACCTCAGGTACCAAAATACCTCCTTCCTGTTCTACCCAGGTGGCTCCTGATCAATTCCTGCACCAACTGCCACCCCCACTGCCACCAGTATAGAACCCTAATAAGAGCCTTTACGGCTTCCTACACATGCCACCCATGCTTGAAGAAACCCTACACTGCTGCCTTCCATTCCGAGATTAAAAAGCAGACACCTTCCAGAAAGCAATATCCTTAGATTGGACCCACCTCCCTTACCCTCATCAGGTATCTCTTTCCCACCATAACCCTCCCTGATGCTAAGACCTCCCACCAGGTGTAGGTTTCCCTTTGGTCTCCCCGTACACACAAACCTGAACAGGAGCCCTGGACCCAGGAGCAGAGGTGGGCTGGGCCACCCGGTGACCAGCCAGCAAAGAGTTAAGGGGCCGGCTCCCTTTGGCAGGGCCCCCACCACTGTGAGAGCTGCGGTCCAGGCGGGTCATGGTCTGCGAGATGAGCCCCAGGGCAGCCAGTGCCGGGAAGCCGGACAGGGGGCTGCAAGGAGCTCTTGGCTTGCAGGGAGCACACCAGGCTGGAAGGGTGGCCCCGTGCTAGCTCCGAGGGGCCCGAGGAGGTGCCCCGCCCGTGCTGCTGCCTGGGCGGCCCAGCCCAGCCCTCTTCCTCCATCCTTGAGCAGCCCCCTCCCACTTCACAACCCCAGTTCCACTCAGGCGCCCAGCAGCCCCCACCCTAAGCTCACCGCAGAGGCTGCAGTGAGATGGGACTCCCACCCCATGCTCGGTGTTCAAGCTGCAGAGGAAACCAAGCTCCCTCCTGGGCCTATCCTCCCACTCCTCCCTCTCCCCCCTCACGCCCCCCAAACTTGTTACCTAGGCTGCAGCAAGGAGCCAATCCCCTCCCCCTCCCACCCCGCAGGTCACTGCTGAGGCTGCAGAGAGCCAATCCCCTCCCCCAGGTCAGCAGCTGGGCTGCGGAAAGAGCCAATCCCCTCCCACTGTCGTTACCTAGGCTGCGATGAGAGCCAATCTCCTCCCCCAAGTCTCCGCTGGAGATGCGGAAAGAGCCAATCCCCTCCCACCGCCTGTTACCTAGCTGCAGCCGGGAGCCAATCTCTGCACCAGGGCAGCTGGAGAAGCTGCCGCAAGGAACCAGCCCATCCCTGGGCCGCCTCCGTCTCCTCAAGGAGACGCACCCAGGGGCGGGCAGCCCCACCCAGCCCAGTCAGCCAGCCGGGGTGGCGCAGTGAGAGAGCCCTGGGGGGAAGGGGTGCCACTCTCCTTCCTGTCGCATCCTGCTTACCCAGCCCACTCAGGACTGGGCAGAGGCTCCTCCAGCAGCTTCTCCGGGAATCTTAAGTTCTTCCCTGGAAGTGGAAGGAGTTTTCCCGTTCCTCGGGAGGGCTGTGGCCAGTTGTCCTCAAGCCCAAAGATCACAAGCCAGGCTGGGCAAGAACCTAGTGCACCCAGACCCACTGGGAGCAAGGGGCTTTGTCACCCTACAACAGGCCAGACGAGAGGAAGGGGGAAAGCTATTTGTACAAGTGCAGCGATGTCACAGTGCCAGCTAGGCCTAGCCCCAGTCAAGAGGGAGACAAGAACCTGAAGGCCAGCACTGAAGGAGACAGGTGTTCCACAACATCCTGGCCTCAAACGCGTCCCCCACTCCCTTTACCCTACCTTTGTTCAAGAGCATTCTCTGCCCGACCCCTAGCCCACATCTCTAAAACAGGAAAGAAGCCCCTGACAGAATCAAGATCACAGTTCTGACTCCCATCCTCACTGCTGCTCCCCTTGAGCCTAAGGTCAGGTCAGGGACAGTATGTTCTCCTTGGTCACAGACTGCTCCTCGCCTGGAAAGAGCTGTACATAGGCCACCCCCACTCTGGGCAGAGTGCCGACCTCGAGGGGAATCCTATCCCTGACAAGGGCCTGGGCTATGGCTGACCATCGAACAGGCCTGGCAGTGGGGGAGCACTGCCACCCCAGGGATAATACCAGCTCCAGCACTGCCTGTCACATGCTTTGGACCTGGGTATTTTTATCCCTGAGTTGCTGAGGAAATGTTGTTCTAGACACATAATAATCCTCCCTTCCCCCATATCCAGCCTGGGCCCCTAATGCTGACCCATCCCCAGCCCCCAAAGGGAGCAGTGAAGGCCTGGCATCAGGGAAAACATAACCCTCATGAAGGCCAAGAAATGGAGAAAACCAGGGTCAAAGTTCCACTCCATTCTTCCCCAAACCACCCGTGTTATATCCAAAACATCCCATCCCAGGAGAGCTACCAGCAGGAACGGGAATGGAGCTACCTCTACAGGGTTCCCGAGAGCAAGCCCCAGTTACGCCCAGCCCCTGGGGAGCTACACTGGGGCAGGAGGAAGGAAGAGTGGCTGTTAGCCATACTTTTTCAGACCATTCTGCCTAAGATTGGAGCCCATTTGAAGGGAAAGGACAGAGAAAGCAAAAGAGAGGTTAAAGTTCCCAGTGGCACTGTAAGAATCTCAGAAGAGGCACCTAAAGGTAAGGAATATTCATGGCTCCCAAGCTCAAATAATTCCAGCCTCTCTCAAAGCAGATCTGGTATGAGCCAGCTGAGCAGTAGAACAAACCGGACATTACTGACAATTGGGGCCAGATCAGTCTGTCATTTGGGAGCTGTCCCGAGCTTTTTAGGAGGTTTAGCAGCATCCCTGGCCTCTCCCCCACTAGATTTCAATAGTACTTTCTCTAGTTGTGACAATCAAAACTATCTCTCGACATTGCAAAATCGCGCCCAGTTGCGGACCACTGGCCCAGAGGAAGCCAGATGCTTTGACAGTCACTAACATTCAGAGAACTGAGCTCAGGAATGGGCTCAAAGGCAGAAGAGGCAAAACCTGATCTGACTAGTGGACAGAGGGGCAAGTTCTGCAGCATCTGTAGCACTTTTTCTATCCCCTCTCCCCATCCCGGTCCCACTCCAAGACGC